TCGAGAAGTGTTTAGGCAGATTAGAATCAAATGTTAGAAATTAGGAGACGGTGAATTTTGTCTTAGCATTAGAGTGAGCTCTTTTGAGAAAGCTTTGTAGACACAACAGCAGGTTGTGAGGAGCCCATTCCAAGAGATGTCAAGCAGAGGCTGCGTGATCTGGGGTGGAGGTGTTGTCAAGATTTATTTATTAAGTGGAAATCTGGTTCTAATCCAACCCCATTGGGATTATAGAATCTAGCCAGGCATCTCTGAGAATCACCTGAATGGCTTCTTAAGAATTTTGATATCTGGGTACTATCTCTGATCAGGTGAATCAAAATCTCCAGGGAGATTAAGAAGCTGGCACTTTTTAAAGCTCTTCAGGAGATTCTACTAGGCAGGCAGGCGGAATGACAATGGGCTGCGGTAGCATTGATTCTGTGTGAGAGAGGATAACTTAATGCTATCTCGGTAGCATTCCAGGAGGAGCCATGCCCTTTCACGTGGCCTTCCTTTCTTCTGAAGAATCCCCACAGCCTGGAAAGGAACTGAACACAAAACTGCCTTCTTAATGGTGTTTGTTTTTTTGTTTTTCTTTCCTTTCAAAGAATCTACTGGGAGTACTCCAAACATTGACATCAGATCTGCTTTCAAGAGAAGGTAACTTCAAAAGGGACTCAACGTAGCTTTTGTACAACATGAAAGTGGAGGATTTTTAAAAAACACTTTCTCTTCCTCCACCCTCTATAATTTCAAGTGAGAAATTTTTTTCACTATAGTTAAACATACCATATATTCAAAAGTTAGTGTTCTAAAAAAACCCTGGGCTTAAGGCCAAATCAAGTATATATTGATTATGCTTTAAAAAAAAAAATCCTCACCCAAGGACACATTTATCGATTTTAGAGAGACATACACAGAGAGAAACATTGATGTGAGAGAGAAACATCGATTGGTTGCTTCTCATATGCATCCTATCCAGGGACTGAACCCGCAACCTAGGTAATGGGCCAAGACTAGGAATCCAGCCCATGACCCTTCAGTGTAAGGGGTCAACACTCCAACTACTGAGCCACACAGGCCAGGGTTTATGGGTCATTCTTAAGAATATTCTTGTTAATAGTGAAGCTCCCATTTTGGCAGGTTTCACAGTTGCCTTATAAAAACACACTTTCAATCTATTCATATGTGCCTTCTTCCTTAATTGCATTATTTCTCACCAAGTGGCCAAAAAAGATAAATTTATAAGGATACACATCTTATGTAGAACCAGTTAAGTAATGTCAGAAAACTTATATCGCTTTTCATCTAGAAATCACTTACGGAGCTATTAAAGAACTTTTGAAAACACATTTTTGGACTTCAATTCGTATGACTTATATGTTATACACAGTTTTTAAACCCACAGACTCCCCTTAGGAACCATAGCTAACATTTGTAAAGAGCAGGAAACAAAATCTTTATTAAAAAATTAAACATGCAAGTGAGTATATAGTGCCATTTAAGTGTAAGCTCCATAGCTTCTATTTAGAGTTTATAAGAAGTCAAAGATGGTTGCATGTCTACTTTAAGATGCATTTCTCTATAGAAATCACTTTTAAAAAAATCCTGTAGAAGGCTCACCAACATTTCAAAGGCAAATTTTTGAAAAATTCATTTTAAAAGAAAATGAAAAGCTTATACATATTTCCCTTTAAAACAGAAAGAAATGCAACTTTTATTTATTTTTTTAATTTTAATTTTTTTAAATCCTCACCCAAGGATATTTTTCCACTGATTCTTAGAGAAAGTGGAAGAGAGAGGGAAAGAAAGAGCGAAACATTGATGTGAGAGAAACATCAGTTGCCTCCTGCCCACACCCGGACCAGGGCCCGGGCTGGGTAGGAGCCTGCAACCAAGGTACAGACCGGAACCCGAGACCCTTTGGTCCTCAGGCTGATGCTCTATGCATTGAGCCAAACTGGCTAGGGCAGGAATGTATCTTTTAAAAAGCTCTGCACTAGCTCCATTCTTATGTTATGTCGGTATCACATTATCTGATTCATCTATTGATGGACACAAAGAGGTCACCCTCGAATATAAGCTTTGCACTTATATATTTGGCGCTGGTACACTTCGTCCTCCAAGCCAATCTCTGTGTGACACAAGTGACAGAGATCAGCAAAAGTCCTTTGCTTTTCACACGGGTATGTTTCCAGACCCTCCCACTTGCAAAAACAAAGTACTTTCTGTTGTTTGGCTTCATCGCATTTGTGTTACTCCATTTTAACACAAATCTAAGCCGCTTTATATATGCAATCTACAAAACTGTGTCTCTTCATTCTT